TAGTGTATTTTTTACGGTCTTTGGCTTTTGCTAGCATCTACAACACAGTTTACGTCAGTACAGTCATGAAAAATTCATGCAGACAATCTGGATGCCGTTTTGCTGTAACATCTGGCATGCAGTGCGACAACTGCAAAGGTTGGTTCCACGAAGCGTGCTCAGATCTCACAGCAACTGCTTAAAACAGACTCAGCAAGTCGGATCATAAGTGGGAATGTGTTACGTGCAGCACGAATGCTGTAGTCTTGCTGAGTAACATCATTGTCCTATTGACAGGTCTGCAAAGTAAGTTGTCAACAAACTTGGAAAAAGACAGTCACAAAACGGGTAGGCAAACAAAAGCGCTCAATGAAAACAAGAATAGAGATGTCGACAGGTCTACCATCGATGGAGCATGCATTAGAACTAATGATGACATGTTGAAACTCAGTACCATCATTACGTCGACGGTAATCGACTCTCTCAGTAAACTCGGGTCTCACAGCTCAGGATCCTTGAACGCGACAGAGGTTCCCCAAAACTCTGTAGGTGATTGGACCCACGTCGAAAGAGCTAAAAAGGACCGGACGTCGCCGTCTAAGTTGAAAACCTCAGGTGTTGTACGGAAATCAACTGGTGATTTAGTCGCACAGTCTACCCCAAGAATGTCCGTCCGGTCATCAAAGAGCCAGGGATTCATAAACGTGCTTCGACCCCCAAACAACAAGATGCTAAACCTGAACGCAGCGGAAAACCTGGGACGACAATAACGGTTCGTGATCACTCTCTCATAGTCAAGAACTTCAGAGACAACCTTGACCTTACTCTCAGTTTGCAGGACAAAAATGATAGGATGCTCTGGGTAGAAATTGAACAAAAAACTTGAACTTCCAATAATAGAGCCTTTGACAGTCACACGGCTCACTCGGGGAAAGGAATCTAAGCATCAAAATCACCCGAGGCTACTTCGTGTAACACTTAAGAATGCTACCGACGTAGAGGATGTCTTACTAGCGAGTCATTTACTGAAATCAGATGAGAATGTAAGAATACTGCCTGAAATACCGTATTCTGAGCGCAATCTCATCCAGAACATCCCCAAAGAATCTCGCGATCAGTTTTCCCGCTGGAGGAATATAATCGTGCAAGGTATACCGGAAAATACGGACCCTACGGAATCAAAGACTGACATCAGGGGATGGAAATTCATCAAGCAGTCCATAAGGCTCAAAAACATACTGACTCAGCATCTGACGAGACTAGTCAAGAAGGACGGTGATTCTAGACCCCGGCTAATGAAGATAACCCTCCCATCCTCCCACATGGCAGCTGCAATTCTGGAAGCATTTCGTGCCAACAGACGTCGACTGCCACCTGGAATCCACGTGCATCCGGATAGGCCATACGAAGCTAGGACCAAACACAAAGGCAAGTTGGAGCTGACCATTCCACTTGTGGATTGTCTAGACGATAAAAAAACGTGTAAAGGACAGGGCCTACCACCTCGGCAAACCTCATATAGGTGGGCTACCTGTCCATTCACATAAGGCTCATACAGAAAAACAGGATGAAGCTCACGCGTTCCAAATTGAAATCATAAACTGCTTATATATGAACGCCGCGAGTCTACCAAACAAATTGGATGAACTATGTGAACTTAGCAACGCTAATTAGGCCCATCTGATAGGAATATCTGAAAGCTGGATATCTCCTCAGTTCTCGGATCATGAGTGCCTTTGTTCCGCAATGACAGAAAATCAGGAAGTGGGGGTGGAGTAGGTGTTTACATACGTTCTCGATTGGAGGTGCACCAAGTTCATAACCCCGAGTTTAACAATCATGAGGAATCCATATGGTGCTCTGTTAGATTGTCTAGTACTTCGAGGTGTCTAGTCGGAGTCATTTACAGGAAGCCAACTGCCGACATCGAGTACGATAGTCGTATGCTGGAAGGACTATCCCGCTCTACTCGTCTCGGTTTTACATCCTGATTCTAGGGGACTTTAATCTCCCTAGAGTCAACTTCGCTGAACACACGTATACTGGAGGCGACAACTCAATTGAAGCTCGGTTCTTCAAACTCATCGATGACTTGGGATTGTACGAAAATGTGAGGTCGGCAACGCGTTGGAGAGACAGTCAGACACCGTCGCTCTTAGACTGTGTATTCACAAACGAAGAATTCCTAGTTGACAACCTCTCATTCCTGGCTCCCCTGTGAAAAATCGATCACGCTGTTATAGCTTTCAGTTTCGTCAGCAAAACTGAGCTAAGATACCCCACCAACAACTTGCATTGGAATTTCAAACGGTTGAATATGTCAGCTCTACAGGACTATCTACAACAGGTGGATTGGGATGTTTACCCTAAACTCGATGTGGATGCTCATTGAGACTTCTTACTGAACACGCTTATATGTGCTACAAATCATTCAGTTCCTCAAACGGTCCTCTATAGCTATCAGCAACCCGCAATCATCAGGAACCACACTCTTCGTCTGCTAAGCCGCAAAAGGCACTGTTGGGCAGAGTACGAACGAACTGACAACAATTGAGCGTGCAGGCAATAAAAACATTTATAGAACATATACACGAAGGCTATAAGAGAAGACAGGCTTCAGTATCAGACAAAGGTCACGGACAAATTTGTCTCTAATCCGAAAAGTTTATTCCGTTATGCAGCCTCTCTTCGTCAAGCCAAAACTGGAGTTTCCCAACTGATAGGTCTTAACGGCCCGACCAACAACGATGGCGACGCCGCTAACCTTCTGGCTGAACATTACTCTCAGACATTTCAACCGGCTGACATCAACTTTACTGACGACAGTTTCATCTGCAATTCCACAGGACTTTCCGAAGTAGACCTAAGCGCTGACATGGTGTTCCGGAAATTGCAGCACTTAAAACTATATATTTCTCCTGGCCCGGATATGGTTCATCCTGCCATACTGAGGGAGGCAGCCTCAATCCTGGCAACGCCGCTTAGCGTGATGTTTTCACACTCGCTAAGCCGAGGTAAATTACCGGAAAATTGGAAGTTGGCTCACATCACACCAATTTTCAAAGGAGGTCGACGCAATGAACCTTCAAGTTATCGGCCGGTGGCTCTTCTATCATTACCATCAAAACTCATGGAGTCCCTGATATGCGACGGTTTAAACGATTATCTACTGTCCTTAAATTTCTTCTCACCCCAACAGCATGGTTTCAGGAAGGGTGACTCTTGTATAACCAACCTGCTGACTGTGGTTGACAGATGGACAAGCATCCTCGATCGTAAGGGAAAGGTTGATATCATTTACCTTGATTTCTCAAAAGCTTTTGATAAGGTTAACCACTTGTGTCTTATCAACAAGCTCAAACGACTAGGTATCAAACCACCTCTAATCGATTGGCTTACTTCATACCTACAAAATCGACACTTTAAGGTTAGGGTTAATTTCACTTTATCTCAAGCTATGGAATGTCCCAGTGGGGTCCCCCAGGGCTCAGTACTAGGGCCTCTTCTCTTCTTGATCTACATAAATGATCTTCGTCAACAGGTAACGTCAGACTTATTACTTTTTGCCGACGACGTGAAACTTTGGAGAGAGATACGCAACCAAGACGATACACAGGCACTTCAGGAGGATCTGACGCAACTTCAAAGTTGGGCAGACGATAACGGACTTACCTTTAACACTTCAAAGTGTAAAGTAGTCCATCTGCGACATGTTGCAAACTACAGTTACAACTTAGGAAACTCCTCTCGAGTAGTATCCGAAGTCGAAAAAGATTTAGGAGTCCTGATGCCCCATGATTTGAAGTCTTACGCTAACTGTGCCAAAAATGGCTTCCGAGCAAACCTTGCACTGGTAACGTTGAAGCGCATTTTCGGACAGTTTGACGGACGAACTTTCCACACAATCTTCAATAGTTTCATCCGTCCCCATTTAGAGTACGGAAATATAGTATTTCCTCCCTCACTTCAAAGGGATAAGGACACCCTGGAGCGTATCCAACGGCGAGCCACGAAATCAGTTCGAGGACTTAAATTTAAACTTTATGAAGAGCGCCTCCATTCACTTAACCTTCACCCATTAGAGTATAGACGTCTCAGAGGTGACCTTCTGATGGCTTATAGTATCCTTAACACTTCTGGACATCCTCTCAAACACCTACTTAAGCTTAGTTCCAACACCAACCTAAGGCGTAACACCCAGAAACTGGAGACACAACATAGCAGAACGGACTGTAGACACAACTTCTACTCCTTAAGAGTTGTCAAATGCTGGAATTCGCTGCCAGCCGAGCTTGTCCAAGCGACTTCCCAGGAGTCCTTTAAGAGGCAACTTGATCTATTCTTAAGGATTTAGGATAGTGTCATACTATGATTTACCAGTTTCTTTTTCCCTTTCATTTTTAACATACCTAGGTTTTTGCCTGTAGGTTTTGGTGATCCCCTGCTACTAGACACAGAAGCCTGTTAAGCTAAAGCTTCTTCTATTCCTTCCACAACCATTAGAACCATTTGAACCGGTGATGAAGAGACTGTTTACAAGTTTAAGCATGAGACTGATATATAAAACTTCAAACATTTCAGGGGTGTCACTCATCTGAGACGAGGATAATGATTCAAACCCATATCCAATCCATCCATCAAGTATATACTGACCTTTATCTGTTCATTTTTCTGTTCATGAAATATATGGTACGGTTTTTACCTTTTGGATAAACAAATGTTTGTGTACAAATATTTAGGGATCTAAGGTGGATCATGCTTCAAACTTGTCGAGACTGATCAGTTCTAATCATCCAAATGGAAGATCATAGGTGAGAATCAGGTGAATCAGATTACAAACATAAATCTTGTCACCATCTGGATGGCCCCCAACTTCGATACAATCCGTCGAACACTCTTATCGTAGTCCTAGAGTAGTAGGAAACATAAAAAGAACTGAAATTCAGTAGTTTAAGTCGCGATGTTTTTAACGATTCTTTTGTTAATGTGAGCTATTTTACTTTATGGCGACGGCGCTTAACGACATTTTGTTTCGTCTGAGTCGATCTTCAAGTAGTATGATTGAGAGGCGTTCCATTTTGCGTCTTACGGATGTTTCAAGTAAGTACCGCACCGCAAGGCGTCTTTCTTCTATCCTTCCGTGTTACTAACTATCAATGTTCTTTCAGGTCTTGCTGAACTAGCACACAGAGAATACCAAGCTGGAGATTACGAACGGGCTGAACAACATTGTATGCAACTATGGCACCAGGACCCGGAAAATACATCTACTTTGCTACTACTCAGTTCCATACACTTCCAGTGTCGCAGGATGGAAAGGTCAGCCTATTTCAGCCAGTTGGCTATCAAACAAAACCCGCTAATGGCAGAGGCGTATTCCAATCTCGGCAATGTTTTCAAAGAGCGAGGGCAGTTGAAAGAAGCAATTGACAACTACAGACACGCACTAAGAATAAAACCCGATTTTATTGATGGATACATTAATTTGGCTGCTGCTTTAGTTGCTGCTGGCGATATGGAGTCTGCAGTAAACGCTTATGCAACAGCACTGCAGTACAACCCAGTATGATCTGTTCGCGGCTTATCAAGTTTTTTTAGGATTTATATTGTGTACGAAGTGATCTGGGAAACTTACTAAAGGCACTTGGACGATTGGATGAGGCGAAAGTAAGGCGGCATATAAGTCGCCGCGGCGCGCTGCGATTGTTTGCTTGGATATTATTTTGCTATGTTTTTTTAAATAGCGGTCCACATGGCCGCCGCGCTGCTTAGTAAATCAAGCAAACTTCCCAGCTCTCCTACGGTTTTTCTAATGAACGAGATTTTTTCTTTCAAACAGCTATGTGCAGTCTCCGACCGGTTGCTGTTCGTCAATCCTACAGTCTGGACTGGTTCTGCGAACAAATGCATTCGTGAGTTCCCCCTTCTTCTACCCTTCGCGCGTTCCCTTAAGTGCAAGTTTTGCACTGCGCTTTAAGTTATTTCATCAAGTTCGGCTCAAGGGTGGTGAGTCGCTGTCTGTTGTAGGTAGTGATTGCGCTCGCATGCTAAGCTGTGGACCTGTCGGTTGACAGCCGCTCAGCGCCCGCGTCTTCTACTTTCTACCTATTTTCGTTTTTGTTGTAGTCATGCTATCTGAAAGCGATTGAAACCTGTCCAACATTCGCAGTGGCTTGGAGCAACCTGGGATGTGTGTTCAATGCTCAAAATGAGATATGGTTGGCAATCCATCACTTCGAAAAGGTGGGTCTTGATTATATTGTTAATTTTTAGGCTGTTACTTTGGATCCTACTTTTCTGGATGCTTACGTCAACCTTGGAAATGTGTTAAAGGAGGCTCGTATATTTGACCGTGCAGTAGCAGCCTACCTAAGAGCTTTGACATTATCTCCAAATAACGCTGTTGTCCACGGTAATTTGGCCTGCGTTTACTACGAGCAAAATCTTATCGATCTTGCCATCGATACTTACAAGAGAGCAATTGAATTGCAGCCCAATTTCCCCGATGCTTACTGTAACTTGGCCAATGCACTCAAAGAAAAGGGAAAGGTTTCGGAGGCTGAGGAATATTACAACACAGCCCTGAGATTGTGTCCTACACATGCAGATTCTTTAAACAACCTAGCGAACATCAAACGTGAGCAAGGAAAAGCGGAAGAGGCAATACGACTATACGTTCGAGCTCTTGAGATATATCCTGAATTCGCAGTAGCTCATTCTAATCTCGCAAGCATGCTTCAATTACAAGGAAAATTACAAGAAGCTTTGTTGCACTATCGGGAAGCCATTCGCATATCACCAACGTTTGCTGACGCTTACTCCAATATGGGGAACACCTTGAAAGAATTGCAGGATGTTCAAGGTGCGATGCAGTGTTATCAAAGAGCTATTCAGATTAATCCTGCCTTCGCTGATGCTCATTCAAATCTAGCTAGCATTCTGAAGGACAGTGGTAACCTCGCCGATGCTATAACATCCTACAAGACCGCCTTAAAATTAAAACCTAATTTCCCAGATGCGTTTTGCAACCTTGCTCACTGTCTGCAAATTGTATGTGACTGGTCTGACTACAAGCATAGAATGAAGAAACTTGTTTCCATGGTACAAGATCAGCTGGAATCAAATCGCCTGCCATCTGTACACCCTCATCACTCCATGTTGTACCCACTGACGCATGACCAGCGCAAAAAGATTGCCGGAAAACATGCTTCGCTGTGTTTGGAAAAAGTGTCTTTGCTGCATCATCAACCATTTAGATTTAGCAAAAAATTACCTGCTGGGCAACGTTTAAGAATTGGATACGTTAGCTCTGATTTTTGCAATCATCCAACTAGTCACTTGATGCAAAGTATTCCAGGTCTGCATGATCGAACTAAAGTCGAGGTTTTCTGTTACTCACTCGCACCTGACGATGGCACCAATTTCAGGGCAAAGGTCGCGAATGAAGCTGAACACTTTGTTGATCTAAGTGGGATTCAGTGTCATGGAAAAGCTGCAGATAAAATCGCAAGCGATGGTATTCATATTCTTCTAAACATGAATGGCTATACAAAGGGTGCACGTAATGAAATATTTGCACTGAAGCCTGCACCGATTCAAGCTATGTGGCTAGGTTATCCTGGCACGAGTGGTTCGACATTTATGGATTATATCATCACGGATATGGTAACATCTCCCATGCACTTAAGCCATCAATACTCTGAGAAGTTGGCATACATGCCCAAGACATTTTTTATTGGGGATCATCAACAGATGTTTCCTCATTTACGCAACCGAGTCATTCTAGAGAGCGCTGAAGATGCCACCGCAGGGCGCCGTGTGACAGATAATTCCATCGTTGTCAGTGGTTTGGATATCAAACCTCTACTACAAGTTGCTTGTGTGCGCGAAGTCACTTATGGAGGTCGCTTGGTTGAGATTCATGGCAGCCAACGTAAAGAGGTTTCTTACTTCACAAAGCTCACCGTGTTAACGATCCCCTCGTTACAGCCTATACAAAACATGATTCGTACAAACAGTCCGTCTTGTACAATTAATGGCGTAACTATTCATAATGGTTTGGTGACACAGCAAACACAATCCAAAGCTTCTGCTGGTGAGGAAGTGCCTCGTGATCTCATTCTTACTTCCAGGCAACACTATGGCTTGCCAGAAGATGCCGTCGTTTTTTGCAACTTTAATCAGCTATATAAGGTTGATCCATCAACTATGAGAATGTGGGTAGAAATTCTGAAAGGTGTCCCGAACAGTGTGTTGTGGCTGCTACGCTTTCCAGCCGCTGGCGAAGCCGGTGCACTTGCAGCGGCCTCAGAAATGGGTCTTCAGCAGGTGAATCGTCGAATTTTATTTAGCAACGTTGCGCCAAAAGAGGAACATGTTCGGCGTGGTCAGGTAAGCTTCCAGAACTTTATAACTCATAAATACAGGTTGCTGATGTCTGTCTAGACACGCCTTTGTGCAATGGACATACTACTGGCATGGACGTTCTGTGGGCTGGCTGTCCTGTAGTTACCCTTCCACTCGAAACATTGGCAAGTCGCGTTGCGGCCAGCCAGCTTCACACGTTGGGATGTCCTGAGCTTGTGGCTAACAGTCAGGAGGACTACGTTCGAATCGCAACGAAGTTGGGGAACAACCGTGAATATCTTCAAGCAATGCGGGCTAAGGTAAGTCTGGTATTTTCACTTCTGATATTCATTTTACAGGTTTGGAAGGCAAGAGAGTCGTCTGCTCTTTTCAGCTGTCGCAGCTACACTGCTGATATAGAAGCCCTTTATTTCCGAATGTGGCAGCAGTATGAAGCCGGCTCTATTGAACACATCGTAGAATGGCCGTCAAAGTTCAATAAGGAGAGTACTTAGTCTTGTCACCGTAATCTACTTGCTTGTAAATATATCATTTATTACTAACTTGGTTTTCTGCACTCTTTCTAAAGTGGTTACAATTGTAGTATGTTGTATCGCGTTAAAATTGCTGCTTATAAGAAATGGTGTGCTTGTTCGATGTATGTATTTGGATGATTAATCACCACATATCACCAACGAGTCACTTAAAACTAGGGGGTTTGGATTAGGTTGTATCGTTTCGTAAGTCTCTATCGCGTCCCTGGCTAAAGTAGTCTTTTCGGCTGTTTCGTCCCATGGCTTTATGTTGGTTAGTATCCTTACGTCTGTAAGTGTTTCATTAAGTTTGTCGTCATTTAACAAGTGGTGGGTCAGTAAGCACATTCACTTGTCGTTTATCCTCTCACATTGAATCACTAATGTTTATAATAAATATAGCGGCAGGTTGTTCGTTGATTTCCGTCTGCATGTAGTTGGGGTGTATGTTCAAATAGTGATACAAATCACTAAATTATAATCCAATATAAACTCAGTTTGTTAGGATCCGTTTAAGGCTTTTTAAACAAGCTCACCCTAACATCCGTCAGAAAAGGAATTCCCGTTTGTATTATATATAGTCAAACCGTTTAGTCAGTTAAGATAGTTTATTTCTTAAGTCATTTTGGGAAGTGTTCGTTTGTTACGGTATTTAGGGTGTATCCAAACTAATCGACTTAGCATACCTGATACTCTACAATGTGGTTGGGAGATGACGTCTAATCTTACTGTACAATGTCAAGAAGTTCTATAGGTCTTAGTTCTTGCTGTTTTTCTGTATGGTGTTATTGCACTAGGTAGAAACCAGCTTGAGGTTACATATGCAACGAAGTTACAACCAACCTTTCTACAACAAATGAGGCGACTGAATGTTCAGGCCTGTCCCATACGTATTTGTGCTTAAATTTGTTCACAAGTAAACTATCGAGTGAGTGATGTAGTCGTTAATAGTTATAAATTGTGGTGTAGGCATAGCACTAAGCATGAGGGTTGAACAAGCACTGTTAGAGTGGTCCCCCGTTAACAGTCGTTTATGTGCTGTTCGGCTAAACGCTCCCACCGACTGCAGCCCAGATGAAGTGAAAGATGAATTTTACAGAAAGCTATCTGAACTTCTTCAAAAAGCTAAACGTTCAGACAGCACTCGTAGCACGTGACTTTAATGCCCAGATAGGTAATTTAAACCAAACAGAAAGGCGTTTAGGTGGGTGTTTTAGTATTCCGGCACAACGAACAGATAATGGTGATCGTCTGCTGCGACTGTGCTCAGACAATCGTTTATTTTTAGCAAACACAAATTTTAAGCATAAGGAGAGACATCGTCTAACATGGCGACCCCCTACACCAAACCAACGATGGACTCAAATAGACCATATTGTCGTCAGTCATCTTTGGAGAGGGTCGGTACAAGATCGTCGCTCATTCTGCAGTACCAGCTTGGACTCCGACCACGCCATAATACGGGCACGCATCTGCTTGCGCCTCACTGGACGCAAAGAAGCCAAACTAAAAAGATCCTTTAGAACTGAATTGAGTAGCGAGAAAACAAAAAGTCTGTTCCAGGAACAACTGGGGTCACAATTAGGTAGTTCTGAAAACGAGGCTGACCCAGATATTGCTTGGAAAGATATACAAACAGCTGTGACATCTATCAGTGATTTTAACCACAGGGTTACAAAGAACCAATGGATTTCCTCTAGGTCTATTGAACTGATGGATTCTCGTAAACTCAACCCATCAGGCTCCGAACACGATGAATAGCGAAAACAAATCAGATCTAGGTTAACCAAAAGTCGTGCACAGTGGTGGTCAACGAAAGCAAAAGACATGGAAAAGGGGGCGGCTATAGGGAACATAAGACAGCTCTACAGACTAATAAAAGAAACTGGAATTAATAAGTGAAGTGTAAGCCAGACTATTTCGGAAAAAGACGACACTCTCATCTGCTCCCAGTCCAGACGTTTAGAACGATGGGTGGAACATTTTAGAGAACAGTTCAGCTGGCCTTCAGCTACTCTACAACTACCCTCCATTCCCAGACAGTATGAATGGAATATTGAAGTAGGTCCCCCAACTCTAGCAGAAGTTCAAAAGGCTATAGTTAATGTGAAACGAGGAAAGGCAGCTGGTCCACATGGATTGGCTCTAGAGGTCTTTAAGGATGGTGGTCCAATTTTAGCGATTACTTACTTACTTACGCCTGTTACTCCCAATGGAGCGTAGGCCGCTGACCAGCATTCTCCAACCCACTCTGTCCTGGGCCTTCTTTTCTAGTTCCATCCAATTCTTGTTCATTTTTCTCATGTCTATCTCCATTTCTCGGCGTAATGTGTTCTTTGGTCTTCCTCTTTTCCTTTGACCTTCAGGATTCCATGTGGGGGCTTGTCTTGTGACGCAGTTGGGTGCTTTCCTCAATGTGTGTCCTATCCACTTCCAGAGCTTCTTCCTGATTTCTTACTTCACTGGGATCTGGTTTGTTCTCTCCCACAGTACGTTGTTGCTAATAGTGTCCGGCCAATGGATCTGAAGTATTTTGCGTAGACAATTGTTAATAAACACCTGTATCTTCTGGATGATGGCTTTTGTAGTTCTCCAGGTTTCTGCCCCATACAGTAGAACTGTCTTGACATTTGTATTGAAAATCCTGACCTTGGTGTTGGTTGACAGTTGCTTTGAGCTCCAGATGTTCTTCAGTTGTAAATATGCTGCTCTTGTTTTGCCGATCCGCGCCTTCACATCTGCATCAGATCCACTCTGTTCATCAATGATGCTGCCCAAATACGTAAAGGTTTTTACATCTTCCAAATCTTCTCCGTCAATTGTGATTGGATTGGTGCATGCTGTGTTGTATCGGAGAATCCTGCTTTTCCCTTTGTGTATATTGAGACCTATTGCTGCTGCCACACTGGTTAGCGTTTTTTTAGCGAGTTAGTTTTCTACGGGATGGGGAAGCTAACCCCATGCCCAACCCTCCTCCTTTATCCGGGCTTGGGACCGGCAGTAGCCCCCAGAGGGACTCCAGGCGGAGCGAGTAGGTTGACTAATATTTTAGCTCAGATCTGGGAATTAGACGTTATTCCATCTAACTGGTCACAATCACTTATCGTCCCAATATATAAGAGGGTTAAAATCATCCTGTGATAACCATTGAGGGATTAGTTTAACTAATATAGTATCTAAAATACTAGCCTCGATAATTATCAGACGCCTTACTAAGACTCGTGAACTGCAAACACGAGAGAATCAAGCTGGCTTCAGACCTGTTCGTGGCTGCATCGACCACATGTTCACCATTCGTCAGGTTCTAGAACACAGGCATACGTATCGACTTCCGACAATGGTGGTCTTTCTTGACTTAAAAGCAGCATTTGACTCTGTAGACCGCGAGATTCTGTGGCAGTGTCTGTCATTGAAAGGCGTACGTCAGAAGTACAAAAACCTTGTCAAGGCTCTTTACTCGAACACTACCAGTCGAGTCAGAGCTTATGGCGAACTGTCATCTGCTTTTGCAACCTCAGGTGGTGTCCGTCAAGGCTGTCCACTTTCTCCATTTTTGTTTAACTTCATCATAGACCTATTGATGGAAATAATAGTCTCGTCGACTGAATTCTCGGGTATTGATCTCCTTCCATGAGGTCCACTTATCGACTTAGAATACGCAGATGACATAGTCCTGTTTGGTGAAGACGCTGGTAAAAGGCAGTCTTTTGGTAGCAATAAGCAACAATGCCAGAATGTTTGGGATACGCTTCTCTCCCTCTAAATGCAAGCTGCTGCTTCAGGACTGGTCTGGGTCAACACCTGAACTAAGGATAGTGAGCGAAGTAGTCGAACGCGTTGACAACTTCACTTATCTTGGAAGTTTGGTCAGTCCTAATGGGTTGGTGTCTGACGAAATCTGTGCATGGATTCGAAAAGCTCGTTTGGCTTTTGCCGACTTACGTCACCTATGGCGAAGGTGAGATATCCATCTATCAATAAAAGGACGAGTATACTGCGCGGCAGTCCGTTCTGTTTTAATTTACGGCAGCGAAACATGGCTATTAAGAGTAGAAGGCACTCACAAGCTACTAGTATTTGACCACAGATGCCTTAGAAATATTGCTGGCGTCTGCTGGGATCACGGGGTAAGTAATCGTGAGGTTAGACGCAGGGTATTAGGGAATGATGGTAATTCAGTTGATTGGGTTGTAAATCTTCATCGACTGAGATGGTTGGGCCACGTGTCACGTATGCCTGAACACCGATTACCACGTGGTGCAATGCTAACCGGTGTTGGAGATGGTTGGGAGAAAGTTAGTGGCGGCCAAACCAAAACTTGGCATCAGGGCTTGAAGTCACTAACTTCTAGTCTGAGTCATGTTGGTAGATGCAGACTACTTGGTTGGGGTCCGCGTGACTTTGGTAACCAATGGCTGGAGACTCTTGGTGACATGGCTCAGAATCGATCACAATGGCGTCGGTGTATGCACTTTTTGTCTTCCCTTAAACTAAGAGATTAAAATCGCTTCATATCTTTCTTTATACGAACTAATTCTTTCTTCCTGTACTATATCCTTACATACAACCGTTCTTTTATATATTACCACCTCTGAATTAACGACTTTTATGAATCCGGTGTCCATCTTGTTGTGTTAATGAGGTATGGCAACTTGGACCGATGCATATATGTGCCTGGTCTTACGTTGTAGCTGACTGACTTAGCCCTAAAAAACTCCCTAACTCAACTAAAATTGACAAAAATTCCAAGGGAAGCAATATAACTAGTAGATAGCTTATAATTCTTGACATCTTGCGTTAACTGAGTTAACTGTAAAAATCAAGTCACATGTGCATAAAATGAAATAAATCATCCAATAAAATGTCAAGTAAGAAATATATATGTATATACAAGGTTATAAAGGTATTTAGCTTTTGACAGGAAAATTTCTAATCATTATACGGTTGACAGTTTCTTCGATGCCTCAACATAGAAGTTTGCAAAGTACCTTGAACTGTAATAAATTTACCACAGGTTTCACAAGTAGTT